CTCTTAAACTAGACATACCCAGTTCCTGCAACCGTTCTTCATATGTTTTAGCCTCCAGTCCCCTCATCCTCTTTGTTGCTCTTCTATGCACTCTTTCCAGAGTCCCCATATCTTTTCTACATCGTGGTGACCAAAACTGAATGCAGTATTCCAAGTTTGGCCTTACCAAGGCATTATAAAGTGGTATTAATACTTCACGTGATCTTGAATTGAATTCACTTAACAACCGAGTTTCTAATTTAACAACTGCAGTGATTCACTTAACAAACATGGCAAGAAAAGTCATAAAATGGGGCAAATCTCATTTAACTAATTCCTCAGCAACACAAATTTTGAGCCCAATTATGGTCGTAAGTCCAGGACTACCTATAGCTCCATTCCTTTTTCCTTGTCTTGGACTTTTCACCCGCAGTGCACTGAGACCTTCTTTGTGCCTTCCTGTTCATCTGCATGCAGCTAGCTTCTTACCTGATCACACTTCCAGGGTGCCTCTGGGTCGCCTGGGAGCCTTGCCCTCAGAAGCACCCACTGCCCCTGGCCCCACCGGCCCCACGCCCTGGGGTTTCTCCCCTCTCCTGAACCAGATCACAAAATGGGGTATCAAAGGCTATAGAACAGTGTTGGCACACCTTTTCAGCACTGAGTGCTTAAGTGGGAATGTGTGTGTGTGTGTGAGGGGGAGCGCCGGAAACTGGAAGATCAGCTTCCCATCATGTGCATACGTGCCAGGGAGCTGCTCTTCCAATTTCTGGTGCTCCCACGTGCCCGAAGACCGCCTGAACCCAGAAGAGCAATGGGTGATGGCTGGCGTGCCCGGAGAGATGGTTCTGTATACCACTTCCAACATAGGTTCGCCATCATGGATATAGGATGATCAAGAGGGCAGGCTCTTCCCACCCAGGTCTCTGCAGAAGACATTCACAAGAATGACTGTTTTCATGCCTTGCCCATCTCTGAACCCCAAGTTAAAAGGCTTCAGATATTCTGCTTCTTCCAAGTGGTTCCTGCAGCCACAGTCTCAGCACTCTTCCTCCACGGTGATAGTTGTCAAGGGTTATAAGGAGGCTGGGAAAGGATTGGAAGAGAATAATCATAAACCATCAAGAGGATGGATCAGTCAACACCTTATCTCATTTGTTTAGCCCAGGTGGCAAGAAAGCTGAGAAGGAGCATTGGAGTTCATTCAAGAAATGTAACCTTCATGAACTTGTGGAAGTAGGAAAATCTCCTTACAGCTTTCAAGTTTTTACGTTTATTCCAGACTGTCATTAAACGAGACCTTACTCAAATCTGTGTAGCTTTCCTAGCCTTGGGCTTGCCCAGCTGCATGGCACACAAGGCTGTTGGCATGGCACCTTCTCAAATGAAGGAACTGGCTCTCCCAGATCACACTGCTAATACGCCATCAAATCCATCAAAGAGCCACAATCAAGTCCAAATGGCTGCAGAAAACCACAGGAACAGCCATTCTACTTCATCATAGCCCACAGACCAGAAGGGATTCCAGAGAACACGGCCAGACATCTTAATCACCTCAGTAGAAGCATGGCTGGCTGGGGAATTCTGGGAGTTGAAGTCCACAAGTCTTAAAGTTCCCACGTTTGGACACCCCTGTTCCAGAGCCATGGTGGCACAGTGGTTAGAATGTAATATTGTAGGCAAACTCTGCCAACTGCCAGCAGTTCGATCCTGACTGGCTCTAACCCCCTAGAGAGAAGCAGACAATGATCTCCACCAATGGCAGAGAAAAGAGAGGACACTCCCACCACCCCAAAAGTGCCAGGTCTCTCAACAATGACACTTAACAGGTGATTCCTTAGAGCAGGGGCGTCCAAACGTGGGGACTTTAAGACTTGTGGAGTTCAACTCCCAGAATTCCCCAGCCAGCCTGTTGGACACCCCTGTTCCAGAGCCATGGTGGCGCAGTGGCTAGAATGTAATATTGCAGGCAAATTCTGCCAACTGCCAGCAGTTCGATGCTGACTGGCTCAAGTTTGACTCAACTTTCCATTCTTCCAAGGCCAGTAAAATGAGGAGCCGGATTGTTGCAGGTAATAAGCTGACTCTATAAACCGCTCAGAGAGGGCTGTAAAGCACTGCGAAGTGGCATATAAGACTACATGCTATTGCTATTATTGAATGAATGATAATGAAAACTCCTGGGCAGAGACATAGCCAGGATGTATCATCTTTCACACATGCCTGCAACTCAATGTTTGAATAACTGGAAATCAGGATTTAACGGAAGCTTACACACAAAACTGCAATCCTCTGAACAGTACAAGTGAAGTTTCTAAGTGTGCCCCAGGTTCTCAGGAGCTGCTGAAGGTAGAGGATATCACCTGTTGCAAAATCTTTAATTTGGATCTTGCCTCGAGTCAAGGGTTAGTTTTGAAGGCTAAAACGACCCTATCCAATTACCAGTCTTCTGGTAATCATTTGTTATATTATAGTTAGCTAATTCTCTTTTGCTTGGTCCAATAAATTAAACATTAAGTCATAAAACTATGGCAATAGCTGACCGCTAAGTTGACCAAAGGTTGTACTGTTTGTTGAGTCTTCATGCCTTCGCCCTCGAGTTCTTTTTAGGCTGTTTGTCATCAGATAAAATATCCCAGGAGAGATTTTACTCAAATAATCTTTACTGACTCTGAGCTTCTCAATACAAAAAGGACAATTGTGGATTTTAGTTGGGTAATGCTTTCTGCCATTTTGCATCTAGTGGCGAGACATATGTCGATGCCAGAAGCACCAGTGAATGATTCTTTAAAAATGCACTCGGATTAGCAACACACAACTGCACACAATAGTTTTCTTTGATTAATTTTCCCTGCCACAAGAAGTCAAACACCTAGTTTTTTTATTGAAGAAGAATTGTAAGAGAGAACTTGGTGTTCAGCTTTCAGGACAATAGGTGCCCCCCCTCCCCTCCAAACATTTCTTCCTTCAGGGAATCTATTCTGTATTGTCTAGTAGGAAGATGGGAAAATAGCTTGTTCTTTTTGTGTTTCTTGCAGCTATAAAATACTCCAGACATTCAATACATGACTCCACCTAATTGAAGTTCCTACAATCACAGCAGTCCATCTGAGTTGGCCCCTGCATTTCTTTTGGAACAACTCATTTTTTTGGGGGGGGGAAAACCCTGTTCTTTTCCAAGTATACACTCACTTGTGTGGGTATCTTTGCAACTAAGGCACCAGTACAAAATAGATCCTTCTTTTTTCCTGATGCAAACAGATAAAAGCTGTATTTTAAGCAGGATTGTTTAAAAAGGCCACTGCCTCTTCACTATATAATGCAGTGGACCCAACATTTTGGGTGCCAGGGACCGGTTCTATGGCAAACAGTTTTTCTGCCACCCGGGGAGGGTTGTGGTTTTGTGCACTGCCTGGGTCGTGTACCTGTGCAGATGGGGACTTGATAGTTTGCGCGGCGGGCCACAGACGGTGTTGGTCTTCAGACTGGGTTTGGGTACCCCTGATATAATGGGTTTTCTTTATCGACAAGTGTGGAAGTTATTGTGGATCAGGTTTCTTGCCCAGTTCTGCATAATTAGAAAAAATATTTCTTTTAAAATTATAGCATAAAAAGAACGGTTGAATGTAATGATTTTGTTAGACTAAGGTTTACTTGATGAGAATCAAAATTATCATTGTTTAAACAAGTGTTCCAACTGCAGACATTTGTGATGCGTCATTACAGTTCTTTTAAGGGTGTGATTTCTAAATATTCACTAGGTAATCCACTTGTGGTTAAGTGATTTAAGATAATTCTTCTGTGGTTAAGTGGTTCTATTAGTAACTCCCATTTACTCTTAGGCTTGTTCAGTGTAGTTGGGGATTTATTGTTCCTGACTTGGTCAGTTAGCTTAGCTTTAAACTTCTATTACTTCCAGGGAGATTGATGGGTAAATACCACGAGATCCCTTCAATAACATCAACATGTATAGGCAGGGATTATGCCTGGTATCTGAAACTTTCTTTTTAAAACCCTTGTTGATAGAAAATGCCTAGTGTGATCTGCATTCTCTATAATTAAGTCCCCAGGTCTCAGAATATAGCTCCTACACCTTGATAGCAGGTAGTCCTCGATTTATGACCATTCATTTAATGTCCATTCAAATTTGCGACATCCTTAAAAATAATTTATGACTTGTTCTTACACTGACGACCATCATGCCATCATCCCTGCGGTCGCATCCCCATTAGGATGCTTGGCGGCCAGCTCCCATTTACAACCAATGACTGTGTCCTGTGGTTATGTGGTTGAAATGTGTGACTTTCCCAGAGAGTTCTTGACCCAAAACAGCATCAGGGGAAACTGGATTTGCATTGCGATTCACTTAATAATGACTGTGGTAAATGGTTGTAAAATGGGGTCTGGTCGCATGATGACTCGCTTTACGACCACATTGACTTATGACAGAAGTGCCAGTTCTAATTGTGGTGGTTAACAAGGTTCCAGGTAACACCCGTAAGGAAAGAAGACTCCGAGGCTTAAGTTTCCTCAAAGTCCCGTTTTATTAGAGATGTCCTATGGGCACATCTGGGGGAACCCGAATCTGAAATTTTCCAGGTTTTCCCCACCCAAAAGAAAGCCCAAGCCCCTGCCCAGCACCCACATGTCCATCACATGGTCCAACCAGGCACCCTCCCAACTGGAGATGCCTCCCAGTCACACCACTCCATGTGCAGGGCAAGATGTCCTTGACTCTCGGAGAAAGGAATGTTATTTTGACTATATATCTCCCCTACCCCATACTATCCCCCCTCCCATTTTCCCACAGTAGAAAACGTGGCAGGTCTGAAGGCCCAATGCAAAAGATGGCTTCCAGGCCTAGGTCGTAAGTTGAGGACTACCTGTAAGGCGGTCTTACCTTGAGTTTCTTTTGAGTAGAATTTGAAGATGCTTTCAAGCTCCCATAAAAAGTTATTTGTGTAGCAGGAAGTAGCTTTTCCACTGCGCTCTGGGCCTCCAAATACTGTTTTGCAAAGATTTTACTCATCAAGGCAATTGTTTTCAGTCTCTGGCTTTGTTTAAATGGCTTCAAGATTCCTCGTCTGCTCTGGTGCTTATTTTCCTGCCTTGGAGGAGAGCTGTGATACTTCCTCTTGGATTTAGTTCATGGACAGTAGTGGTAAAAGCCACCAATCACTCCAAAACCTTCCCTGCAGAGGTTGCTCACTGTAGAGCAGGAGTGTCCAACCTGGGAACTTTTAAGACTTGTGGACTTCATCTCCCAGAATTCCCCAGACAGCATCTCTGGCTGGGGAATCCTCCGAGTTGAGGTCCACAAAGTTGCCAAGGTTGGACACCCTAACTTCATCGTGGCTTCTCAGAATGAGCAACCAGACTGACACGTTAACAATTCATTCTCTGAATACTTATAGGGCAATGGTCAGCAACCTTAAACACTCAAAGAGCCACAAAGGTCCTAACCGGAAGGCCCCCATTCAATTCTGGAGCTGACCAGAAGTCCGGTTCCCCCGTCATAGAGTCTTCTCCTAGCGCGACATCCTTTTTCCTCTACCTGTCGCAGCTAAAAGTCCTATCAATGGTGAAGCCGACCAGTGACAGGGAGCCGCAGCAGAGGGATGAAAGAGCCACATGTGACTCCAGAGCCGTGTGGTTGCTGAACCATGTTGTAGGGGATCCATGACTGCTGAAGCCTTAATATCTTAATATCTGTTCTAGCCTTTGTCTCTGAAAATTGGAGTCTGGGTTTTTAACTCTGTACTGAAAACTAAAGGATAGGAACTTGGCAAACTAAATTCTCCACAGGATCCGGGCAAGGTATTATTCATTTTCTTGTGGCTCTTTCTGAACAGATCAAAGAGTGTGCTGATGAACCGGTCGGAAAAGGTTATTTGGTATCGTGCTTGGTGGAGCACAGAGGAAACATCACGGAATACCAGTGTCACCAGTACATCACCAAAATGACAGCCATAATTTTCAGCGATTACCGCCTGATCTGTGGATTTATGGATCAATGCAGGTCTGATATTAACTTCCTGAAGTGTGGCAGTATTCGACCGGGAGAAAAGGTAATCTATTTGAAAATATTTTGATTCTATAGCTATTAATTTTGGGGAGGAGCATCATTTCTCTAAAAAAGGAAAGTTCTCTAATCTGCTTTGAAGAGACCAGTTGGAAGATAATGGCTAAAAGTCTATGGAGATTCTCAGTCATCCAGGGCATGGTTGTCCCAAAGGTGCTTTTTCAGGAGGTAATTGGACTTCCTTGTTACTTCTTTGAAGACGTTTCATTTCTCATCCAAGAAGCTTCTTCAGCTCTGACTGGATGGTAAGAAATGGAAGGATTAAGCTATACAATTTGGGATGAACAGCCTTTAAATGGGGTGGGAGTAGGAAGGGATTTCCAGAGGGGAAAAAATTGCAGACTACAGGAACCATTTGCACCACTCAGGTGACCCTGAGGACACAGATAAGCCTCCAAGGGCTTCAACAACCACGGATGCAAATGACCAGCTGCCTGCAAGGAATATAAATCCTTCCATTCCCTACCATCCAGTCAGAGCTGAAGAAGCTTCTTGGATGAGAAATAAAATGTCTGAGGATGCCCTTGGGATTAGGGATGTTCAGTTTTGCATTTAGAAAACAGGTAGTCCTCAATGTGTGACCACACAGTAGGGGCAAGAATTTTCATTGCTAACAATATGGTCATTAAATGAGTTACCTCCAATTTTATGCTTTTGCTTGCCACCATATGTTGCTAAGCAAATCACTGTAGTCATTAAATGAATCAAATAATCATCAAGTGAAACCAGTGTCCCCCATTAATTTTACTTGTTAGAAGCCCTCAGTGAAGATGATCACATGATCCCAGGATCCTGCAGCGGTCATAAACACACGCCAGTTGCCAAGCACCCAGAGTTTAATCATGTGACCACAGGGATCCTTGCGATTGTTGTAATTGCCTTTTCCCCCAGGGCTGTCCTAACTTTGAACAGCGGTTAAATGAATGGCCGTAAGTCAAGAACTGCCCCTAAATTTGAGCTGAATATATTTTTTCTTGCTGTGGAATGACTTCCTCCTCTGCACGCAGGATGCCCATTCTCAAGGGGAAGTGGTGGCCTGCCTGGAGAAAGGACTGGTGAAAGTGGCGGAGGACAACGAGCATCGCATCAAAGTCTCGGAGTCCTGCATGAAGGCGATTCTCCGAGTGGCGGAGCTGTCCTCGGATGACTTCCACCTGGACCGGCATCTCTATTTTGCTTGCCGAGATGATCGGGAGCACTTTTGTGAGACTGTAAGTTCCTGTTTAGCTTTCCTCTTCTTTAATCAAAATGCCCCTCTTCAGCCAATCTGGCTGGCTGTGCTGACTAGGCCAGACACTGGCCTAGGCATCTCTCCCGATGTCAGCTTGGGGGAGGCTGAACCCGTTCCCGGCACGTCAGGTGGGGAGTTGGTCAGTGGCTCCAAGCAGCCGTCCGAGAGGGATTTGGCTGAAGCACAGCTGCAGCAGGACAGCACCGAGGCTTTGGGGAAAGCATGCAGCCGCAGCCGGTCAGGGATGAGGACGAGCACGGATGACAAACCTGTGATATCAGGTGAAGCATTGTGGTATTTTATGCCTTTCCGGAGCCAGGGTTGGCATGGCCTCCGCATGATGCATCTGGCCTAGGGGCTGCTAGTTTGAGACCCCTGAGAAAGAGGAACCACCTTCTGCACCTGATCCAAGAACACGCAGGGCAGAGAAAAGGCAGGAGCAGAGAAGGTCAGCCCGACTACTTGTGAGGAGGTAGCCGAGGTTCTTCTTGATGGGCTGCAGCAGAAACTGGCTTTTTGGCACAGCAGACAGATGGGAGCCACGCTGGGAGCAATGTGTTCATTTCCTAGCTGTGTGTTCTCCGGTCGTTGTGATTCTTGCCTTGCTTTGGATTGACAACTTGCCTTGTGAACTCTGGGCCTTTCTTGCCTCGTGAAGTTGCCTCTTGTGTTGTGGATTTAATTTTGCCTGTTTATTTTGGTTGGGGCACTTTCAAGTGCCTTGGACTCCTCAGCCATTGTTCTGTGGACTAGCATTGGTCTGCTTATGGCTGGACTTCATTGGGACAGTTCTGGGTTTTTGGTGAAGGGAGTTCCAGGGGAACCCACTAAACCACAGTTGTGTGTGTGTGGGAGTGGGACAGCACACTGGCACTGCCTGGACTCAAAGTCTTTGACATGGCCTGCTTTAGGACGAGATTCCTCCACGGCATTTCCAAACTGTAGGCCAGCCTGGCAATTAACAGAAAAGAAAGAAGGAGGAGAAGAAAAAGCCCATAATATGGCTTGTATTGTTGCCAAGGAAACTATTGGACAGAGCTATGAAGGCAACAAAAAGTCAAGCTTGATTTAAGGAGGCTACTTTTTATTACAAAATAACAAACTTGATTCAACATTGATTTCATTTAACTGAGGATGCTACCTCGTAAATAACAACAGACTTGTAAACTATAAAGTACAGGATTATGATTAAAAAGCAGTCGGAGAAGTGCAATGAATAAAATATATATTAGTAAAATGGAGCGTAGCTGAAGTTCTAATTGGCTTTGACAATTGTGTTTCAGTCTGTCTATGAGTTTGTTGGAACAGCACCGTATTTTTCAGAATATAAGACGCACCAAGGTTTTGAAGAGGCAAATTAAAAAAAAGTGGGAAGAGGTTAAAAAGAAACAAAAATACTTTCACAGACTCTATATTAGAAATGCACTGATACAGGTCTGGAATAAAATTAGAGAAAAACATTACATGAAAATAC